GGGGTGGCCGAGCGAGGTAATGCGTGTGCAAAACACGCGTGACCCAGCAATCTGATAGCTGAATTTAATTTGATAAAATAATTACGAGTTCGCGTCCCGGTACCAGGGGAGGCTTTTAAGTTAGGCATTAATCATTCGCCTTCTCTGCGTCCGAGAAAAAAGCTGTACAAAGGCGAGGAAGGGAAAGACAGATAAAGCAGCGATAAATATCAATGAAAGAAGATAATCACAGAATAATCTGAGTTACTTGTTGACCATCTTTTATCTATATCAAAACCAATGCTGGATTCAGAATTCTATTTTGGATGTTTTTTTTTCATTTATTAAAAAATTATAATGTTTATTATCTTCAAAGGATAAGGAAAATATTACTAGTAGTAGACTGTTCAATTATGAAGATGAAACTAAATTGTCAGGAATTTCATTCACGATAATATTTATTCGGTTCTTGCCTCGACATCCGAAAGATAGTCTGATGATAACACCTCTTGGGTCGAAACGTCGGCTGATCCAATAAAAATATCTTGACTGAAATATCTGACAATTTCGTTTCATTCTAAAAAACATTAAAAAAACTCGTTCATATTTAATATGTTTTATTATAAAGCCTGAAATTGTTTTCGTATTGGTCCTAAACTAGTCGAAATGATAGTCAATATCTTATCTTTTAACAAATAACAGCAATAACGTTTTTGTATATTTTTAATATCGACCATCGTCCAAAGTTATTTCCGCAAGAATACCTTTAAGACATTATTCCTAACTTTGCTTCGTTTTTTTACTCTCCAAAATGTTTATTGAAACAATTACATATATAGTATACAATAATACAATATATACATGTAATAGACTAACTTTGCTTCGATTTAAACCTCAGAGACTTAACCAGTACGCCTCGTTTTTAATTTTCGGGAGAAGAGGTAGTTAAAAATGCATTTTCCAACTTAAACTTCTTCGTAATTTCATCTTCGATTAGTTTTTTTAAATTTCCATAGATCATAAATGTTCAAATTTTTCAACATGATCAAACCGTATTCACTCATATAATTATAAAAAAAAGTGGTAATATTGAAACTACCATATGCACTTGTATTCAAAAAGTATTTAAATATACGTTGTTAATGCAACGATTGTCTAAACTTGTAATGGGGAATGTTTAAAGGGAAATGGAAACCGGTTTTTAAGTATCAACTTTCATAAACGTTTATCGGCTTATTGCAACACTTGTGCTATGTCAATCTGAAAATGCTATGAGGCCAGGATCAACAAGAATTTACATCCAGCTCGATAATAGAAATGATATGAACCAATCATAAGCCATAATCGCCGACAATGCTCAAGTTATTCGTCCTCCGAAGAGAAACAGGTTATGAAGCCATTGTTATGTCTATCCCTACGTGCCGGAGTACAGCAAGGCTCCCGATAGCGTGGGCTGCTCGCATGCAACCTAGCTCACGCCATCCCTCTTACAGTGCTGCCAACTGTCTCTGTCTCTCTGACATAATGTTCTGTCACAACTGGACCCATTGGCCCAACTCCAACATAAAGGAGATGGTCAATCCTTTGTTAGCGTTTCGACACTGCCAATTGATCATTCGAGGACTACGCGACATTTCGATAACTTCAATCGTAGTCTCGTTAACATTTCTTCGAGAGAAAGGATTGAGGATTTTCAGTCGTACAAATATAATTCTATGGTATTTTACGTTTAAACCGAAACAGAAATAAATCAGAGGTATTTCTACATTTCAGCATGGTATCTAAGAATTCATAATACAAGAAACGACAAATTTCCAACTGACATTCGATAAGTCTCTATTGGGAAAGAGAAGATTGTTTTTCGATCTAATAATAAAATATATTTATTATATATCATGAATACAAATTCTATAATATAAATGCTTTATGTATAGTATGTTGTAACGCAATCGATCACACTATACAAATGCATGTGAAAATCATAAAATTAAATTTAGGTCCGAAAATAAACTAAAGATTTAAAGATGGCTAATTAGTCGACCGATCAACTATTAGGATTAAATCTTTAGTTTGAATGGATGCAACAAAATTGTCAGGATGCACATTCTAGAAATGTGCAATAACATGAACTAGTAAATATAAGGAATACAGTAACATGAATTCTCTTGGTGAGAAACTACCCACCGATAGCTCTCAAATATAAAATATAAAATGTAAGTGTAATAACAGTACAGTTATTCTAGTAGTGTTATTCTGTACTGTTATTACCCTTACAATGTTATATTTATTATTTTATTGATGTTATTTTATATTTTGTTATTTTTAGCCCTGAGGCTGACCCACGTATTTGGGTCGAAACGTCGGCCAACCTAATAAAAATTATAGATTGTAAATCCTGAAAATTTTCTTTTGTCCATTCAAACTAAAGATTTAATTGACCCAATATTAAATAACCGTCCCGCAATGAAGCCAAGGTAGATAAACCCTCTAAAAAAATTAAAAAAAATAATCTATCTTCTTATTTTAGTTGTTAGGTTTTAGAATAAAGTACTAAGTCAGTTAGATGAGATAGATCTTACCTAGCAATAAATATAAATAGTTAGATATCTTTCGTAGTTTCCAGAATAGCGACTTAAGCCAAAAACTTCTTTTACTTTTCATTACATACTTTTCAGATAAAATTCTAGATATTGCGATATTTCAAGTATATGAATTCCTTTAAGAGGTATAAATCTCATTAAGTAAATCCCTATCACCTTTTTTCATTGAAAACAGATACGTTTCGTTAATTGGACACTTGTGTCAACTCGGTTATGAATCCAATATTGGATTTATGTGAACGAATGGAAGAAGTATCGTATATACACTTAACGCCTTTATTCATACCAATAATTCAATTTTCCATAACTTCACTTATTACCTTAAGTTGTTATTTTCTTATGAACTTAATAAATCTACATTTGGTTTCTTGGCTGTATTTACGTATTTTTGGTTCAACTTAATACCGATAAATAAAAAAATAAAAAAAAACAATAACAAAAATGCATATTTAAAATGTTAAATAAATGATCAGCTGGAATCCACTATCACATTGAAAATAAAACGTACCTGACCATTTTTTGCTAGAATGAAATGGTTTGTAACCATTATGATATCTCTTTCCTTCCTGGCCTACTTAAGTACAATAGGGTATTAAACGATAGCAATATACCATCGTAATTAGCACATGTTTCCTATTCAACTTCAAAGAGAACCTAACTGTCTTGTTATCATTGGCTTTAATTATTGTATTAAACGATCCGACAGACAGACACTAAAGAATCTAGAAATACCAATAGAATAACAAAAAGACTACCGGAAAACTTTAATTTGAAAAGATCATTGCTTATTGCTTAATTTAAGAGATATTTATAACTGTCTCTGATTTGCTCATTTTAGCATATATTCAGTAATCAACAATTGAAAGAAATATAATTAAATGGGATCTGTTTTATTTTTTAAATTTGGAAACAGATGTTTCCAATTATCCTTTTATATCCTTCAATATTTTAATTACCTTAAATCAATAAATACAATAGCGTTATTCAAATTTATTCAGAATTATTAAGACAGGGAATTGTATTGATCCAATACAGTATTTCCAATTCCGATATAGATAAAGGATATTCGAAATTCGTCCATAATCAAACTTTCAAATTACTTGGCGTTGTTTCAAAGGATAGGTCGAAGTTCAGCCAATCAACAGCTATCCTTCATCGAGTTGGCTAATGTTGACAACCAGATTTCTATCACCGGTTGCCAAACGGGATCGCCTAAGGTCATCGAGATGAAAAGAAGCGATAAGACAGACGGGAAGCCTGATTGGCCGGAGGAGCAGTGGGCGGGGCATGCGTTGGCTGAGTAGAAAAAACCAAGCGCAGATTAGGGAGCGAGTGGTAGCCAAGGACAGCTCCTTCGCCCACCGCAGCACCTGGGCTCACCAATAAGAGTGCTTCCTTGTTCCAGCTGCTGCCCTTTCGGGGACTTCAACGGGTGGACAAGCAGGCAGGCTTCGGCCAAAATCTATGTGGCTGGATAAAGCCCGATTTTTAAGTCATATTGTACCTATTTGATCCCATATAAAAGAACGAGGCTTATGGAAATGATTATGATCTTGATTTTAGGCTTAAAGGAGGTAGTTCACTATTCCTCAAATAAAAATAACTAATCCAATATAAAAGATAATTGGCTCTCAAACATTAAAACTAGTTCAATTGATTTCAATAAAATGCACCATGTTTGTTTAAGCTAGTCAATGACTAAAATACGTTGACAAAAAATATAAATGTAGAAATGAAATCCTTAAAATTTAAAGCAGAGAAATTTTTTAGAACTTTTTTTTAGATCTTATCCTAATCCTTGACATTTTATGTCGCTCTTATTAGCACTCCTTTCCCCTCTCCAATAAAAAAAAAAACGAAAAAAAAACTACCGTAGTTAATTGAATTAAAGTTCTAAAAGGTATTTTAAATCGATACTTAAGAGATGACAACTCTTATGTGTAAAGATTATTTTAGTATAGACGAAAACCTGTTTTAAACTGTTTAAAATCTGAAAAATGTCTGAGTTAAGTGTTTTTTTTTTCAAGACTCTAATAAGGAATATCAAAATAAACTAATATTTTTCATATAATCATGTATGTTAGTGGTGATATCACCATAAAAGTTAATTAGGCATAGAAAAATAATTGGATTTTACAACATATGAGCCAGTTGACAGAACAATTTTTAAGTAATTTTAGTTATATTTCTAGCTGGAAAATTTATATCTGTACAGACAGGATATTGCAGTGTCTATATATCGAACTGCGAATAAAGGTATTTTCCGACAAGAAATATCATTAAAATTAATAATAAAAAATTTTGAAATAGGAGATAGTCATTCTGTCAACTGAAAGGATCACATTATAGTATTAAATTTACATTCATAACTATTTTTATTTTTCAAAAACATCCAACTACAAATAATCTTTTTTTTTGCAGGTAAAAGTTTGCTCTGTTACAATTATCAGATATACAACTCTACAATAACATATAGCCAACTTGAGTGTTGAGAAGGTATTGTTTTTACTTTTATTTAGATATGACATATGTTTTAAATTTTAGAAACAACTACTCTTCCGTATTTTCAATTATATCGTACAGAAATTTTTATCATGAATAATGGTTATAAATCGTTAGCAATCGAAACCTACAAAACCTGTTTGCCTTTCGCCTTAGACAAATCTTTCAAAATTGAGTTTTTTTTTTTATTATTAGCACAATAAATACATTAATAATTATTAGAGCAGTATTTATTTAAAGATTTATTTAAATTTAAAATTTAAACAAAACCTAAGTAACAGCAGTAAGTGTTATGCCAGTGACGTTTGTAATCGACAAAACAACACAGTATAAATTCAATTTTTCAATAGCACAACTTTTTTTTTTTTTTTTAAATCGTGCACGAATACAATGCTTTGGTAGTGAGGAAGCGAAAACATTAATACTACATAAAACATTTGATAAATAATAAATTAAAGGATGAATTAATTTAAAAACCTTCCTTAATTTATTTGTCATGTATATATTTAATTCTTCAGGTATTCCGTAATTATTTAAAAATAATAAATGAATAAGAACAGTCTCAAAAATTACCAAATTAATGACTATAACCAATTGAAGAAAGTAAATTTCTATTCTATAAAAAATTCCTCTATAAATCAGATATCGGAAGGGAGGAATAAACAGGGATTGACCAAAACAGGTATTTGAAAGTTTACTGAGAAATAGTGAAAGTATTAAACTATTCAATGACATGGACAAGACAGTAAAAGTAACGGTAAGAACTCCTCCGGTGCTGGAGTGAGATCCAGAATGAATAGTGAAATAAATAAATAAACAAAAAATATCGCGCATCTATTGGAGAAAAACACAAGCGCAAGTCGGCGAATTTTGAGGTATTCTAAAAAAAAAAAAAAAAATTAAAAGTCATTTATGGTTCCTTCAGATATATCGGATGAGAGAAATAATATAGATGTAATTTTTTCATTATTGGTTTTAATTCCTCTATCTTTTAAAAACGTTTTTTATTTGGAGTTAGCGAGACCAATAATTTCCTTCAGTCAGAAAAAAATTAATAAGGCTAAAATATAAAAATATGCGTGAAGTTCACACAACTTTTGATATTTAAGAAGGGAATCGAGACCACGACAAGCAGGTTGAACTTCAATAAAAATAAAAACAATCACAAATAAACTTTTTTTTTATAAAATGAGTAAAGATTTATTTAAATTTAAAATTTAAACGAAACCTAAGTAACAGCAGTAAGTGTTATGCCAGTGACGTTTGTAATCGACAAAACAACACAGTATAAATTCAATTTTTCAATAGCACAACTTTTTTTTTTTTTTTAAATCGTGCACGAATACAATGCTTTGGTATTGAGGAAGCGAAAACATTAATACTACATAAAACATTTGATAAATAATAAATTAAAGGATGAATTAATTTAAAAACCTTCCTTAATTTATTTTAGCGTATAAGGCATATTATCAATTTTGTTCAAAAGTCACTAAGTACATTGTTGATGGAGCTGAACTTCAAAAAACATTTTTTATGAATTTTAACTTGACTTATCGATAGAATAAAACACAATAATTTTACCAAAATGAAACCAACTCTTATATATGTATAATCTAGTTATAACAAGTGCAGATTGCTCTGATTTCACAAAGGAAAATTTCTTACTAATGTAAGGTTATGAAATGTCTCTAAATGATTTTTTGTTATAACGTGACGATATGTTTGTTTGATTGATTAATATTTTAAATTATATTATAGCAAAAATAGGACTCTTTTCTTTTTTATATAATATTTCATACTATTCATGGAATATTCATTTTATCATTCAGTTTCGGCGATTCTTAATTAAATGTATTAAAAATATTTCCTGTTTATTGGGTTTTATTTTATACCTGAATTAATCATCTAAATGTATTATGTTATTAACAATAGACACATTAAATGACCTTATCTGCTTATTATGTTGTCTAGTAGGTAGCTTGTTTGCAGTCCAATGTGCATCGCCTAGATTCGGGTCAGAAATGAGTAGCGATTGGTGAAAGGATTCAGCGGACTAGTCTCTAAAACCAAAATTATCTTTCTTTACATTTTGATTGTACATAAATTAGGTTTTGAAATACTACCTAATATCACCAAACCAAGTAGGCGTCTATTTTTTCCACAAACCATAGGTAGAGTTTCTGTAACGTAACAGTAAGGAGTTACAGTTCCTAGCTAGAACGGTAAAATTAAAGCTGAGGAAGTAAGCCCTCCTAGACCCTCTTGACTTCTTCTTCACAGTTGAAGAAGAACCCCTTGACTTCCTTCCTGAACGGAATAGTCTTGAACTACTGGCAGGTCACAGATCCAGATGCATACAACCAGTAGCACACTTAGCTTCGTCATCTACTTCGGGTATAGTTGTGGTAAATACGAGAAAGCGAACGACCTTGCAGCTGGGTGTACTTTCGATTTCGTTCCGTTACCGCGGCGTTCGAGTCGCCGAAGGAGGGTGGCGACATCTCCCGGCCTACTCATGCAAATGCTATGCTAATCGTAACCGGGCCGGTATGCCCATGTCCTTGCATATTCCAAATTCGTACTTGAAGGCTAGGACTGGGGAGTTCCGTCGGTATCCGCAAACCTAATAATATTCTCCAACGAAGATTGCGGGTTCTCATAGTCATCAGGAGCATTCAAATTGCATAGATTTTCATTTCAGATGTAAATTTCTTCAATGAAGAATGTTGAATTATGTTTTTATTAAATTAAATAAACTCGTCTATTTATAATATTAATATATGAGTGCCAATTAAAAGATATTGCAACGGGGGTATAGCACATCGCCTACATACATAAAGGAGTAATTCACTAGTCAGTTTATTACCTGTATAATGGTATAACTAGTATGCGATCTTCAGTAGAAAAGTAGTAAAACCAAGTTGTATTTTTTTTTAAAGTAGATCATATTTTTCGTTGAGTAGGAAGCGATAACTAAAGAAATATTTAAATTTAAGTAATTAACAGTTGCTTTTTCTGTAAACTAGACAAAATTTACTTCAAATGAAAATGGTATTTGTCATTAAAACAAGTTAAAGAGGACTTGTGAGCAGCTAAACAAAGCTAATTATCATCCAACTTTTTTCTACAGTTCATTTCGATTTATTTTTTGTACAAATTATGTTACCATTTATAATAATGGTTAAATAAACAATAAAAAATCTCAAGAACAATTATAATATATGAAAATCATAGTAAAGGGCAAATTGTCAAAATACATGATAACAATATTTTTTATTTCACATTAATTATATTATTTGAAACTAAGAACGGAGGATCTTCTGGTATCTTGAATTGATTTGAAAAATTGATTTGTAGGGTTTATGTTCCAGGTTGAATATTAAAGAATAGAAAAAAATAATATAATATTTTTAAAATGTTACTATTTTAATTTAAGGAATAAAATGTGACTTAGGGATCTTCTAATAAAAAATCTATTACAGTGATACCAATCGGTGGATCTCTACAAGGCTATTCATGCCATTATATCTTAATCTACATGATAATATATATTTAATAAAATTGTAAATTTCAATAAATCAATAAAAAATAAACAAACAATTTTATTTTTTAAAAACAAACGGCATGTTTTGAATAGCATTTCCCTGACAAAGGCCAGTTCGTTGACCTGTACAAGAACAAAGCGTACGCACGTAGTTTTCACAGATGTGAGGAAAGAATGCCGAAACCAGATGCATCACTATCATATCTATCAATTTAGTAGTTATCATTGACAGATAATTTATATTAAAATAATCACACAAGAACTACATGAAATGATTTTTATGCTGTCAATATAATAAAAAATAATAATTACAGAAAACAATAATACTACTAGAGATAATTTTTTAATGCTTTTGTTTACTCTTTTTGTAGAGTCTTGACTTTTGTTTATATTAAGTAGCTATATTTGCGTTTTAATTATAAAACAGGAGGTTTGACTTGATTGCTTATGTAGTTTCAATCAGATCAATCACAGAAACTAATATGGACCAATCAAAAATAAATTATTTTCCTAATTTTTTTTTTTTTTTGGGGGGGAGGGAGAGAGAGGAGAGGATTCAACCCGAAGCTCCCTCTCGTTCTCCATGGCTCTGCCAGTGATCAATACCACTACACTAACATAAGACATATCTGGGCAAATGGAGAAGAACATTGGGTTTCTATAAAACAGGTTCACATAAACAAAATACAAACAATGCAGCCCGAAAAAATCTGGCGTGTCCACTCACGCGACTACCGATTTCAGAAAAGGGTTTATATCTTAAAACATGTCCATTAAAAAAGAAAAAAAAAAGAATTAGATCTATTTTTCCCAAAAATAATCAAAGAAAATATTTAACTACGACTTCTTTGATGCTTCGATTCCGATTATTTATTTATTTTTATTTTCTTATGGAGATAATTTAATTACCTTCTAAGGTTTATTTAATTTTACCATAGAATATATACTTAGCGAGTTAGGCCCCAAAACATTTTTCTTTTCTTTATAACTTTTTTCCTGAATTTTCTCGGAAATTTAGTACATGTACGAAAATTGAAAATACATTAATAAAAAAAACTACAGGAAAATTTCACGAAAATCGTTACAGCCGTTTTTCGTTACAGTCTATACAAAAAAGTGTTTTTCAGCTCACCAAACAATAAAGTGTTTGCACCCAATTTGTGTCACAGGCATCAGTATTGAAAACTCTACAAAATAAAAAAAGAAGCAACATAATTGGTCAACCAGTTCCTTAGATACTTTGGCAGACACATTGGCATAGACAGACCAATAGCTGAAAATGTGTTTTTCGGACTCAGGGGTGTGAAACGTATAGATCCGTCGAAAACCTCATATCGGAAATTCGACCCGTTCGCAATATTTTTCTTTCCTAGTATAGGTAGGAAATTAAAAAATTGTAATTGAAATTTTTTTTTCAAAAATCACACTATACACAATCATATAAAC